AGTCATCATAAAAAACCTAAAAAACCTAAAATATTAAAAAATAATAAATATTATTTATTTTAATAATTATATATCATATAATATTTTTCAAATTTTAATTAATAATTAATATAATTTATCATATTTTATTTACAATGTTTTTAAAAAATAAATACCCAAACACCAAAATAACTTCTAATTATAACTATAGTACAACATAATTCAGCGTAACCATTACTATAGCTAAAGTCATAACACTTTATAGTAATTTCAAAAGCACCCTTAACTAACAAAAGTTTAGTTAAGTCACCACTCACTAAATTAAAATTTTTTATTTAAATCTTTGTAATTCCAAGTAATTAATTTCTAATATAAAATAAAATAAATGATGCAAGGCATTAATAAGGAAGCTATGTATATATAGTAAGTAATATAAAGAGTCCATAAAACTTCAAAAGGGTTTGGTGCAAACAAAACTTTATACTAACTATCATATGTGATAGGCTCCTCAAATTTAATAATTTTAATTTTGTAGTTTGTCACATCTCATACTATAAAAGTAAGAACTTATAAAACTTTTGTGTGTATGCATTAATAAGGTTACAACTTTTTCTTATTTATTTATAACTACAAGAATTGATATGTAATTATGTATGTTATTATTGTTTGGTTGAGTTGATGCACACTAATTCAAAATTTTTAACTTGAGGTTAGAAACAAAATTTCCAATTTTTTAAAGAATAATGATAGAGTTACACTCCCAACTGACACCCTTAATAGCACACTTTTGGTGTAATAGATAAAATATAATTTAATAGGATTCGGTAGGCATTAAAGACTTATCCCTTGCTTGGTTGGGCTATTGTTTAGCATCCATTTGGTCCATCGAAATTCTTTGTTGGTGGCTATCGGTTAGAACCCGATATCCCTCCAAAATCTATAGATTCCAACACTCACTCGTCCCACATACCCTCTTTTCACCTTCATTTCGTCCTCACCCATATCAAAAAAGCTAGGGCTGAGGTCTCTTGGGTTTATGGGTTTTCTAGTTTTATAGCTATTCTTGGGTTTTGAGTTCTTGGGCATTCAACCTCCAATGAAAATCCACAAAAGCTAGGGTTTCTCGAAAATGCTGTGGGCCTTGAGTTTAAAAACAATCCTAAGGCACCTTCCCTATCTTGTTGTTTCTTAGATCCATGGATTAGGTAGAAGAATAAAACCGAAACAAAACCAAAAAAAATTTGGGTATTATTCTTAGCATGTGTTTAAATGTATGTAGGTGTGACTTGAAGGATATTCTTTTGGAGATGGATAGGATTTTGCATCCAAAAGGTATAGTTGTATTTAGCGATGAATTTAATGTACTAATTAAGGTGAAGAAGATGATAGAAGGGAAGCGGCAAGATAGTAAAATGGTTGACCATGAAAATGGACCCTTAGTTCTAAAGGAGATATTGGTGGCTGTTAAGCATTATTGGACCAGGGGTGAAAACTCAACAACATCCCAGTGAATGGCAAACGAGAGAACTTAGAATCGACTTCATCAATGATGATGAGTCATGACTATTGATGATTAACTTCCTTGAAGACCTTGACACTCAATCTAGATGTAGATAGTGTAGAACAGAGCCATAACAAATTTGGGAATTATTCTTGGCGTTTGTTTAGTATCGTGAATAAGAATAAGTGGATGAATGGACAAAGGGGTTAAGAGTATTCACATCATAACAAGAACATTATCCTTTTAAGAAAAAATGTTGAGTCAGAGGGTTAGAGCAAGAGGAGCGGCGACAGGGGAGGCTAGCGGCACCAGACAGTGGCAGGGGAATAGGCATCGGATTCCAAGATTAGATTATAAGCTTTTAGGGCAGACAAAGACTTTCTTCTTTTACAATTTTCCAAAAAATTGTGAGGAGAAAGATTTATGGTACAGTTTTCAGAGGTATGGAAAAGTATTAGATGTGAATGTGCCAAAGAAGCGCGACAAATGGGGGAGGTTTGGTTTTCTACGTATGTTAAGGGTGCAGAATGAAAACCAGATGGTGAAGAGGCTCAATGACATCTGGTTTAGATCATACAAGTTACGAGTGAAGATAGCAGAGGAGCGAAGTAATGGGAGAGTAAAAGAAATAGTTACGAGAGGCAGAATGCAACACAGAGTTGATAGGTTGGTACAGCCAAGATAGTCATACGCCTAGGTGGTGAAAAGGAAGGAACAAAGGTTTCAACAGTTGTTGATTCATAGAAGAACGTTGGAAGGGGAAGACAAGGACACTATTCATTTGGAAAAAGCACTAATTTAGGTGAGGCAACACAAAAGGAAGGAGGAATTGGCATCTTGTGATGTACTAGATGCCAAAAAAATACATGGTGGAGAATTCGGTCTTGGAACCTCACGAAGAAATTATGGAATTTACACCAGAACAAAGTGAACTCTAATGGCTTGAAGGGAGTATGGTGGCTATTGTGAAATCCTTAACAATAATTAATGAGATTCAGCAACGAATTGATGTTAATGGTGGCATGATCACTCTATCACCTTTAGGGGGAAGGAGGGTGTTGCTAACTGAAAGGGAATTGGGGTTTCTATTGGAATTTATGAATCTCAATAAAGAATTATTTGCTTTGTGGTTTGAAGATATCCAATCCTGGGACAAGGAAGTACAGGAAGAAAGTAGAATAGTATGGCTATGTATCTCTGGTATTCCTTTAAAGGCATGGTGCGATAGATATTTTAAGATGATCGGAGAATTAGTGGGAGATGTGGTAAAGATTCATGAAGATATAAAAATGAAGTCAATTTTATGTGACGGAAGGATATTAGTTTATATGTTCTATAGAGCATAAGATTTCTAAATGGGTTACACTGAAGGTGGAAGAAAAGTTGTATGAGATACAGGTGGTTGAGGAAGAATGGTGCTCCGACCCAGATTGGTGGCTGTCGGACGATGATCGGCAGAGTGAGTCACTAACGGATTCGGAGTATTCTTCATAACAGATTGATGAGAACGATCAGGATTGGATAAATTTTGAGATTTACGACGAAAAGGACAATAGCATTAATGAGGAGCAATTAATGAAGGAAGGCCACTGGAATTCAAATTCAAATTTTAAAAACACAGGAAGAAAAGGAGAATTTACAAACAAAAGAGATGATGGTATAGGGGATGTGGTTAGTGGGCTGACCAAGGACAGTGGGCCGATGGGGTCCAAAGAAATTGGGCTGGAAGATAATAATAACCTAGGAGGGGATTTTATTCATGGAGAGATGAGGAGAAATAAAAAGAAAGGGCCCAATGAGACAAGTGAGGAAGGGTTTTCCTTAAACCGAGATCTGGAAATGAGGGTGTTAGGGGCCAAAAGACGAAGATAGCTGAAAGAATGCTATCCAAAGAGCTTAGCGAAAATCTGGGCAAAAAAGATACATGGGACAAATGTAAGAGCAAAGCAGCAATAGAGAGGGAGAGTAGAATCTTCAACGGGTGCAGCGAACAAAGTAAATCTGGTTGGTAGTTGTTCTCTTTCTGATGAATGTATAGCAAATAGAAA